CGTAAGAATTTTTGTTAGCAGACTCACAAATCTACTTGTGACTTGTGAGTATTGTTACTCGTACTAATGCTCACAAGATGTAACAACAATTCCGAAGATGTCTTGGGGATCAAAATAATTGTCTGATTTTGTTAAGTATATGCGAGAGAAAGAAAACTAAAATCACTAGTCCTCTCTACAACAACATTGTACAAGAAGTTGGAAATGGAGGAAAAGAAGAAGAGCAGAGTTTTGATAATCGGAGCAACCGGACGATTAGGGAACTATTTGACCCGTTTCAGCATCCAATCGGGTCACCCAACTTTCGCACTCATCAGAAACTCCACTTTCTCCGATCACTCCAAGTCCGTTACACTGAAATCTCTCTCCGACTCCGGCGTCTCTCTCCTCAAAGTATCTCTCTTTAACACAAATTCGGCATTTTTTCCTCATTAGGGTTCTTCTGATTGAGGAATTTATTCAGAATTTTTCTGGGTTTTTGTCACATTTGGGTCTCTTTGACTCTCCTGTGCAAATCTGAAAAAGTTTTGCTTTTTCTGATTCTTCGTTTGATTGGGTTGTTAGGGTTCTTTGGAAGATGAAGGAAGCTTAATCGAAGCAGTGAGGAAAGTAGATGTAGTGATCTCTGCGATTCCATCAAAACATGTTCTTGAACAGAAACTCCTCATCAAAGTCATCAAACAAGTTGGTTCCATTAAGGTCTCTTTCATATCTTAATCATGAGTTTAAGTACACCATTGTCGTAATTGTTTGATCTTGTATGTGTAATACATTGATTCTTGTATTTGCTTTTTGGGTGGTGATGATGAGAGGATACTTAGATGTTTAAACTAGAAGCAGAACATTGTTGGTTACTATTTCAGAGGTTTATTCCTGGTGAATATGGAGCAGATCCGGATAAAACACAAGTCTCGGATCTCGATCACGGATTCTATTCGAAGAAATCCGAGCTTAGGCGTATGATAGAATCCGAAGGGATTCCGCATACATACATTTCCTGTGGATTGTACATGAGAATTCTACTTCCATCGCTCGTGCAGCCGGGGCGTCATTCGCCTCCAATCGATAAAGTCACGGTTTTTGGAGATGGAAACGTCAAAGGTTTTGATCTTAACTAACTACAAGTTTCTCCAAATATACAATCTTGTGGTTTGTGTAATTGAGTGTTTCTTGTTCTTTTTGTTGGTTAGCTGTTTTCGTGAATGACGCTGATGCTGCAGCATTTACCATCAAGACGATAGATGATCCTCGAACACTCAATAAGACCTTGTACCTTAGACCGCCTGGAAACGTATGCTCGATGAATGATCTTGTTGAGCTTTGGGAAGGCAAGATTAAGAAGAAGAAGCTTGAGAAAACTTTTGTTACAGAAAATCAACTTCTCAAGAAGATCAAAGGTCCATCATCACATCTAAAATCTGCCTTTAATTTCGCTAAAAACTTAAATTCGAGCTTTCTGTTTTGCTACGATGCAGAAACTCCTTACCCGGATAACATGGAAATGGTCTTCATATACTCTGTCTTTATCAAAGGAGATCACACATACTTTGACATCGAGTCTTCGGGTGGAGTGAATGGTACTGAGCTTTACCCTGATGTCAACTACATGACCGTTAGCGAGTTTCTTGATACTCTTCTCTAGGATTATAAAACCAAATAGCAAAAAGAGATCACACTTTGTCCCATTTTTTTTGTGAGATATCTCTACAATTCCAAAACATTGTTGTTGTGAGGAACCTAACTCCTATGTAGCACACTATCTTTGCCCCAATTGATCTGAGTTTGAACGTTTTCGCGTGTAAGAAAGTCGCGTCTCAAGTTCTGATGATGTTGTTATTGAGAATGAGCTTCAAATAGAGATGAATTCAACTTCAATTAGTTTACTCAAGCTCAATTACTGGAAAAAAAAAAAAAATAGATATATCAAACTGATAGAAACATCAAAGAATGGCACACAAAGGAACACGTCAATTACATAATTAAATTTAAAAATTGTGATTCAGAAGAGAGTATCCAAAATACGAGGTTAAGAGAGAATCTGAGTGCTGTTCATTCCGACAAGACCAGCTTATAGTTATTTCTCTGCCTC